GATGCGTCCATCTCACTGAGTTCTTTGTTTGTTTACCACCTCTTCTAATGTGTGAGTGTGTACAAAAGTTAGTGCATCCCTATAAATTTAGAACAGGCCTAGTTTGATCACTCTGCAAGAACTTAAAGTGTCACTATGATTGTCTTCACCAATCTGCATTGTTAACTAACTACTCCAGTATTTGATTACATTCGGGATCCCTTTCATATTTATGAAACAACCAGACTGTAACTATCCACAGCATCACAAACAGGATATGTATGCATGTGTTTTATGAGGTTTTTTTAAATGTTAGCCTGCATCACAGCATAACCTGATGAAAAGAAAATCGATTAAATTGATCAGACTAACCCTGTGATAATATAAAGTACAGTTAACACAGGGTTTATACAGATATGAGCAACTAATTTAATGCATTTTAATGCTCTTTGAAATCATTGTAATGCCATCAACAAGTACCCATGACAAGAGAGAGACTAAAAAATATATATGTATGTATTCTAAATGTTACATGAGAAGATTTTAAGACATAGCCCTACAAATGAAATGGAACTTAACTGGAAATATTTGAAAACAGTAGATACAAAAACACATGCTAGAAAAAAGAATTGAATTTCATATGCTATGGAAAAGGTACATATGGTGCAAACAATTTGTTATTTTAGAAAATAGGATTAATGCATGTGTCTAAGTTGGTTCGCTTTTGATTCGTGTTCTGAATCAATATTTACAGTTAATTTTCCATTTTTCCTTGCACCCCTTTCTTATGGTGCATTAACACAGCATGCAATCAAGGCATAATTTCAGCGAGCCCCGCAGGTAGTTCACCGTGAACTACACCCTGGACTGCATCATCACATAGGAGGAGCTTCAGCTGCCTGAATCTGAAACCCCACCGACATGAAAAAAACTCAGCAAATAGACTGAAGCTTTATTGCTCCTTTAGTGCAGGTTTGTGAATTTTAAACGGTCATTTGTAAAAATGGAAACAAAAATTAATAAAAAAGATCACATGTGCTTCTCTTGTTTCAGAGATGTTAAAGATTATTTTTTATGTCACCCAGAAGTCAACAAACCCCCCTGAAAATAATCAAAATGATCTAGCCTACTTTTTCAGTGCCATTTCATTTGTGCAGGTAAAACTATCGTTGCTGAGGCCAATCTTGGGTCTGATCCCTAGGGCCCATAGCCATATTCACTTCGGGGTGGATGGATTCGATGCAGGTCCATCAGATTCCATAACAGTTTCTTCCCCACTGCCATTATACTTCTAAATGTTGTGTAAAATGGGTTATTTAATTTATTGAAAAAAATGTTAGAACTTTAAAAATACAGTCATATGTTTATATTACTATATTTCTTTTTATGTATTTATTACTGCTTTCAAGGCTGCACTTTTTTATTTTATTGTCTAGAGCCATTTTTAAATGAAATTTCTTTTTGTATACACTCGTGTCTACAAAATGTGAATACATCTAAATCTGTATAAAATATATACAAAGTTATATAATTTGCAATATTAATATAAGCACATTTTATATTAATATATAACTATATTTTACAATTATATATTCATATAGAATATTGTTATTTAGTATTTTTAAGGATTGCCCTTTTATAATTAGTGTTATGATCTAAAGAGGAATATTAGTTGTAATGTGATTTACAAAAGAGAATAAAGTTATTATTTAGTATTTTTATTCATGTCAATCTTCACTTCATTGTCAAGACTTTTTTGTCAAATCGGTAAATGAACGGTAAATGCATGCTGTGGGTAACTTTTTGAAACTATGTTTTTATTATTATCATTATTATTTGTTGTTTAATAATTTTTAATGTGTGAGATATATATATATATTAGGGCTGCAACAACGAATCGATAAAATCGATAAAAATCGACTTTTAAAAGCGTTGGCAACGAATTTCATCATCGATTAGTTGTGTCGCGCGATTAATGCGTCATCCGCCGTCGTCATCACAGCCACTTGACTGAAACGGGGGAAGAAAAAAAATACGGCAGAGCGAGCCAGCGCCACAGGTGCAGTGTTGCCAACTCAGCGACTTTTTCGCTATATTTAGCGACTTTTCAGACCCCTCCAGCGACTATTTTTCAAAAAAAGCGACTAGCGACTGGCGACTCTTACATGAAAGCATGTATCGTTCCTACTCTGCTGCCGTGGGGCGCCTCCCCCTTCCCAACCCCGTTCTCCCGCATGAGTCCCTCTCCGCGCTGCAGTCAGAGCCGCAGGATGTTTACCCTCAGCGTCCAGACTGCAAATGAAGCGCGCATGCGCCGGGATTGACGGCGCAAATTGATCACAATAATTAAAATAGCCTGCGCTTTGTAAAGCGAAAAAAATCGTAACATGCAACTTTTGTAAAAACAAATTAACATGGCACGGAAGCACCACTGTTATGATGCAGCACCTGAAAAGAAAACATGTTGGAGACTTCGATGGCAGTGAAGAGAGCTAATCAGCAGGGTGAGCGACCATGTTTGTTTCGTTTTAAAGTGGGGAAACGTAACGTTAGTTACTCAGGTAGCTCATCTGATGCTTTCCTTACCGTGTTAGTGGGTTACAGACAGTGATAAGGTTGGCTACTTATTTTACTTTTAATTTCATTTGAATTAGCTTAAGCAGCGTTTTATTTTCTTTATAAATAAATTAACTTGCAAATTATGAGGGCAAGGCTTTTAAAGTTTAAATCTTCTGGCAAAGATAAAGTAAAGAAAATCCTGCAATTTATGGAAATAAAGCAGAATAAAATCCAACAAGATCAGTAATATGTCAATTATTTATATGCCACATTCCCATGTAAATATCTGTTTTTGGAGGATGTGTTTTTTAGCACCCCTAGTTCTCTCATTTTTATTCCAAATACAATTTATAATTTGAATCACAGGGCTATTTTTATCTCTGTGGTTCAGTATTTTCTCAAGTAGCAACTTTAACTGCTATACTTTCCTGTCTTAAAAGGCAGAAATCTTCTAGTCTAAAAAAAACCTCATTTGTTGAAATGGGGGGACCTATTGTTTGAACCCCTTAGGGGCTTTTAAAAACAAAAAAGTCTTTTTTTGCGCTTTATGAAACAAAGTACCCTATATTTTGTGGATGTATAGCTACATTTCTCATGTAAGTTTGCGTAGTTTTAACACAAACATTTATTTTTCATATTGCACCAGTACAGTTAATGAGCAACCTGTACTTGTGTGCTTGTTTGTTCTGTCTAAAATGTTTATTTTGGAATAAAGAGGTTAATATAAAAAATATTTTTTTCCGATTCATCGATTAATCGAGAAAATAATCGGCCGATTCATCGATTTTTTAAATAATATACTTATAACATACTTTGTGTGTACTCTGCAAACTTCTAAAATGGGGCTAGTGGAATAATTGGTTGTATCTGTGCCAAATAACACAAACTTCAAGATTTTTAACATATACCTTGGAGAGGAAAAGACACCTGAAAATGCCTGTTGAACTTGTGTCCAGGTTCAGTTCAGCACTGAACTCTATTAATAGCCCAGCGGCTGACGTGCAGCAGCTCGAGCAGGCAGCAGTTTGTTCCTCTTTCATTGGTTGCGTAACAGGAGGGCACATGCTATGAACACAAGCTCAGTAGGAGGCACGCTATCTGGAGACGGCATGAAAGCTGAATGAGAAATCAGCATCCATTGCTTCACCGATGAGCGCGAGAACCTCAGCTAACAGAGCTGCACTTTTTAAGCAAAGACACGATATCAGTTATGCTGTTTTAACACACTGACACTATGTAAAATCTTTTCAATCAAAGCTTTCACAATGAGTAAGATGCAAATAAACTCTGCTGAGCTTAGGAAAACCAGTAGCATTTACAATCTATTGGTTTGCTTATGTCTGAAGAACACATCAAAGGGTTAAAGAAGAAAAATAATTTTTACAGAAGGCTGGCACATGGTTTCCTTAGGTTTCATTTGAGGTGTTGTTCCAATACTTTGATTTTCAAAACAGTCTGTTTTCTAACCAAAATTTAGATATGCATGAGCTCACAAAAGGCTTGCTTAAAAGCAAAGTTAAAAAGGAGAATTCTGTTGTTTTTTTTCTTATCAAAAATGTTATCCCTTCATGTTGACCTTTGTATTTGCTTAAATACACTGTTCTGCTTCCAAAGATTCTTCATATGGAGCCGTTTTTACATAATGAGCCATTCTAATGAACGCCAGGTGGGCGGATTGTGTTGATTTTTATGTTTACAATGCAAATGCCAAAACACCCCCAACCAAGCAGGAGAGGCAACATCTCTTCTATAATGGAAATTAGGCTAACTATTAGTATGATTAGCATACAAATCTTAGGTGGTGAATGAAACCAAAGGTTCCAGTCTCCACACTCCTCCCCCCCTCTTAAGCTTCCCCAGGGCTTTTAAAGGACTGAAGTCCAACAAACAAACTTTTCTTCATTCTTTATCAAATAAAACAACCAAAACAAATTGGGGTTATCCAGGATTCCTGAAGGGTTAGCTCATATGGGCCATTTGAGCATTTCCTTCATCTCAGCTGAAGCCTGCCTAATAGATTCAAGAGACTTTATTGTCATTCACATCACGTGTTACATGAGGTAGAACGAATAGCAACAAATGCGACCACCCTTGGAACAGTCCAATCACTTCCTCGTTTGTGAAAAAGTAGCCCATCATGTTACTAAAACACCCCATCAAGATACAAGGGACAAAAAGGTTCCTACACTGTAAAACCCAATGGTGCTTCTCACTAAAAGAATTAAGTTATTTTTACTCAGTTCAGCTAAAAAGTCAAAATTACTTTTATAAACTGTGTTATGTCGGTTCAAAACTAACAATGTGATATACTAACTCACTTATAATAAGTACTCATACGCTTATGTTTGATTTTGAGTAGATTTGCTTTAAACTGTTCAAGTAATCATGACTGATTAAGACACAAAAAAAAAAAGCCCGTCTACATCATCACTGAGTTTTGCACACGGCGCCAAAGAGTTTTACCCGGACTTCTCGCATTTTCTGCAAACTTCGAACCAGACGAACTCAGCACAGAGGGGAGCTTCAGTGACTACGTGAAAATATCAAGGTAAATATTTTTTCTTGTTGTTTAAATACATACACAGAGATTGCAACCGAATTTATCAAACGACTTTGCCAATATCAAGCAGAAAAACGGAGCTTGCGAGCACATCTCCCGCCTAAGGTTGCCTGAAGTTTACATATATAAATTTAAAATATTGCGGTAGGTTGTTCGGTTAAATAGTTTACTTTTACAAAGCAACTGCGCATTTTTTTAGTTCGAATTTTTTAACACAGCGTTTGTGAAAATAAATTGGTGCTGGTAGACAATCCCTCCTGTACATATTTAAATATAACGGGGGCGGCTTGATTAAAACTGTGTGCTGAAACATACTTTTTCAAACTGCGTGGCCGAAGACATGACGGTAAATTAATGTTGTTGTTTTTTTTGTTAGACTTTGCAAACCTTTTAAGTTTTTTATTTCTTTTACACCAGATGTTTAAAAATTGTAAATGTAGTTAGTTTCTGCTATCCACATGGAACATTTTAGGTGTAGTTAATGTGCTGCTAGCTCTGGGTTAACATGTTACAATATTTTTTTTTTTATGTTGCATTACAGTGTTTGATTTAAAAGGAAGCACACTTGGAAGGACCATAACCACCACTTCTGTTCAGCCTCTTGAAGACAGCCAGAGAAGGTAATATAAAGTGTTCGATATCTAATTGTGACCCTTTTTTATTTTCAGAAATGTGGAATTGCAAGTTGTGTAGTTTTTCAACTGCAGTAAAGGTCATGTTGCTAAAGCATTACCGGCTTAACCATGGTCAGTATTCAACAATTTCACCTTTACCCTGTCTCTACAACGACTGCATGTGTACATTTAGTACATTTAATTCTTTAAAGATACATATGTCAAGAATGCACACTGCTACACACAGAGAAGAACTTTCTTATCCATCTCTTATGGATTATGGATTTTGTTGCCCTGTGTGTACCTTTAGGCAGCCATTCATTGAAAGGCAAATGTTTATCCATCTCAGGGGGCATTTAAAAAAAAAAGAAACTGTGCCATGTCCTTTTAAGGACTGCAGTTTTAAAACAAATGTCTATTCGACATTTAATGCCCACAAATGCAGAGACCACCAAAATTCAACAAACTATGATGAAAGCATTGTGCATAGTGTCATGAACATAAACCAAGATGACTTGCAGCTTGACTCAACTGAGTCAATACATGAAAATGAAGAAGCATCCACTAATGAAATCAGTAGTACAGAGGGTTTGGAAGAGCAGTTGCAGTACAATCTGGCTGGTTTTTTCTTGAAAATGCAGAGCATTCTCCATGTTTCCCAGAGAGCAACACAGGAGATAATTGAGCATATTGATAATATTTTTTTATTATCTGAACCACTGATCAGAAAAACAGTTGCTGAAATACTGAAAAAACATACCTGTCCATATACTGACAAAGTGGTTGATGAGATTTGCCAGGCGGTTTCTGATAGTAACATTTTACATAAATGCATCACATCTGAAGGACCGCTTTCAACAGCAAAGAGGAGAAAATCATACTATGAAGCAAACTTTCCATTTGTCAAGCCTGTGGAGTACTTAATTGAATCCTCAAAGCACACCTTTATGTATGTGCCAATTCTTACATCTTTGCAACTGCTGTTGAAAAAAGCAGATGTGCTTGAAGAAGTTAAACGGGCACCCACACAGATACCTGGACATTTCAAATCATTTTGTGATGGATCCTACTACCAGGAAAATGTTCTACTGTCACAAGAGGGTCCTAAACTGTCAATAATACTGTATGTTGATGATTTTGAAATTGCAAACCCACTTGGCACTTCAAAGAAAATACATAAGGTTTTTGCAGTTTATTGGACACTGGCAAACTTTCCAGTCAAATCCCGTTCTGCTCTCCATTGCACTCAGCTCGCTCTCTTGTGCAATTCTAATGATGTATGCCTATTTGGGTATAAGAAATTGTTTTCACCTCTCCTAAATGATCTCAGAACTCTGGAAGAAGTAGGTGTCTATATTGATACCCTTGGTGAATGTCTTAAAGGCACTGTCTACTCTGTTGTGGCAGATAACCTTGCTGCCCATGGGCTTGCTGGTTTTAATGAGAGTTTCAGGTCTACACATTTCTGCAGGTTTTGTCATGCCAAACAAACAGAAATGCAAATAGAAAATGCTGTTACAGGGGATTATGTGATGAGAACAAAAGTTGCTCATGATAATCTTGTACAAGAGCTTCAGAATGGCAGTGAGGAAAATTATGGTGTGAAAAACAGTTGTGTTCTTTCTGATCATCTTTCCTTCTTTCATCCTATCACAGGCTTTCCACCTGACCTACTACACGACCTATTTGAGGGTGTCGTTCCTGTGGAGTTGGCGCATTGCATAAAAGGTTTGATTTCTAAGAAATATTTTACCTTAGAAGACTTAAACAGAGCAATATTGCGCTTTCCATACCAACATTCTGACAAAGTTGATCGCCCTCATCCAATACCAACAAATTTTGCTTGCCGTGGTACCATTGGTGGGAACGGACATGAGAATCATGCCCTGCTTAGATTGTTACCACTTCTCATTGGCTCAAAAGTCCCCGAAAGAGACAAATTTTGGGAAGTGCTAATGGACTTAAAGGATATTGTTCAGCTTGCCATGAGTCATACTTTTAATCAAGAGACCATTCAGTATCTGGCTTGTAAAATACTGGACCACCGGCAACTCTTCCAGGAAGTGTTTCCAAATGTTCGATTTAGACCAAAGCATCATTACATCGAGCATTACCCGCACTTGATAAAGTGCTTTGGTCCCTTAGTCCATCTTTGGACTATGAGATTTGAAGGAAAGCATAAGGTTTTCAAAAAAATAATTCATGACACTCACAACTACAAGAATGTGTTAAAAATGTTGGCAGAACGACATCAAAGCATGATGGCATTTTATTTGTCATCATCAAAGTTTTTCAAACAACCTGTGCAGACATCTAAAATGGAGTCTTTGTACATTTCATCATTACCAGCAGATACACAATCATTGATCTCTAGCATTGCTGATAATCCCACTGTATACGGAACAAAAAAAGTAACCATTGATGGCACAAACTTTGAAATTGGCATGTTTGTATGTACGGGGGCATATGCTGCATGAGTTTAAAGAAATTCGGAACATATTGCTTGTCAGAAATGGCATTTATTTTCTCTTGAAAGACTATGAAACCTTTTATGTAGAACACTTGAGGTCATAAAAGTAGAAAGAGCATCAACTGAAGGGTCATAGTGAAAATCTTTCAGCCAGTTGCTGACTAAAAACCCCTCTTTTTGCTTACAAAAAGGGAAATGAGTTTAAATTCTCACAAAAAAAACATTTCATTCAGGTAACTAAAGAACAAGGACTGAAACAAAAGGGGCTGATCCCCCAGCCCCCTTCAAAAAAAAGTATAAATTTTTTTAAATTGCTTTTAACCCAAGGGGGGGGAATAAAAAGAAGGGGGGGGGGGGATATTTTTTTTTTTTTGAAATTTTTAAAATTTTAAAAATTTTTGAATTTTGGTTTTTTTTTTTTTTAAGGGGGGGGGGAAAACTTTGGAAAAAAAACCCCAAAAAAAAAAAAATAAAAAAAAAAAAAAAAAAAAAAAAAACCCCCCCCCCCCCCCCCCCCAAAAAAAGAGAGAAAATGAAAAAACAAACAAAAATCAAGCCCTTGAAAAAAAATTTTAAAATAAATTTGCCTTGGGAAAGGGTTTATCTTGTCATCTCGCCCAAGCAGCTTTTCAGGCCCTCATAGATAAAAAATCAAAACAAAGGCTTAATTTGTTTTTGACTTTGGGCTTCAGTTTCACGCCCCAAATTTTTTGATAATCATTGTGAAATTTGGGTTTTAAAAAGAAAAACCTGCCAGGCAAAAGCACCCAAATTAAATTTTTCAGGTTATTTGATCTGGACCGGTTTTTAAACCAAAACAGTAAAAACAACCCTTTTCTAAACTGATAGCACTGATGCCACAGATTCACCAGAGGGGGCCCCCGGGGGTGGCCCCCCCGGGCGGCCAAAAATGTTTTTTATTGTTCCAAAAATTTTTCCTTATGGGGTTTGGAACATTGCAAGGGAAGGCAATGCACCCATTTGAAAAAGAAAAAAAAGGGTAACCCAGACCCCAAGAGAAAAAAAAACAACATCCTTGAGATAAGGGGGGAAAAAATCTATAGGCTGGGGCCCAATCCTGGGAAGCACACAAATTGGCAAGGCTGCGGAAACTTTAGTTAGAAAACATCCCTGTTTGAAGGAGAAGAATTCTGACACTGGGTGGGAAGGGTGGAAGAATAGTCTGAGATACAAAATAGGAAACCAAAGAAAAAAGTTGGCTAAAGCTGGCATCAAAGATGTAGCTGTAAATTCTGGAAAACGCAGCCGAACAAACCCAGAAGGAGCTGCACCAAGGGCCAATATTAAAAGACCTAGGAGAGGGGAGGTAAACTTCCTTCCTAGTTATCCTTCTGGAGAAACAAGGGAGTCTCTAGAAACCAGGAGGCTTGAGATGGTTAAAGAGTTCCAGAAGACATCTGCTGAAAGAAACATTCCCCTTATTCATCAGCACATGATGAGCACCTTTGCCCTCAGGCGTGAAGAGATCATCACAACTTCTCCTCCTGTATCAGAGCTTAAGGAGAGATGGCCAGCCATCTTTAATGAGACACAGGTAAGTACAGCTTGATAAAATGTAGTGTGTGTCAAGAATGTGTTTCTTTTTTTCATTTTATCCTTTTTGGTTATTTTCCTTAGCTGTACTGTGAATTTCACCGGATTACTAATCAGCATCTGCCACATGCGTTTTATGCTGCACTGGATGAATATGCTCCTCAGCTAATTGGGCTTTATAAAAAGAAGAAAACTGGACGGATTGGTGAAAAGATGGACCAGCTTTTGTTGGCCTATGAGGAACAGGTACTTGGATACTGTTACTATATTTGCTTGGTGGCTTCCATTACCATGTTTAACTTTTTTTTTTAATCCTTTAAGGACAAAAACGACATTAATGCAACAAGAGCGGCAGCCCTGGCGGGCCTACCCATTTACCTTAAGGAGGATTCTTCAAGCATTTTCAAAACATGCAAAGTATGTTGTTCATTTTGATTACCATATTTTGTCCACTGGAATTAGAAAAGGTTTAATGTATTCTAATAAATAATTTTGAACTCATGTCATATTCAGGATGAAATGGAGTTCTGGGAAGGCGCAGTTGCTCTGGTTTCTGATGTGGGTGAAGATGAGGTGCCTGCTGGAGTTCCATTCTCACCACGTCAAGTGTTCGTTGTGCTTGAAGATCAGGTTGTAATGACTCATCACTCATGGACTGATGCACTGGTGTGTTTGTTTGGGCTAATCTATACTCTGCATCTCAGCTATCCTGTGAAGTGTACTAGCTTTTTTGAGTTCATTCAAGTAGTTTTTCTGAAGCTAGATGATGAAAGAAAGCAACTCAAACCAAAATTGCAGACACTGAAAAATGAGCTGGTGTAGATTGGATTTGTTGTTGCTACATTCATGCCTGTTCAGGAATCAGCGTTTAAGGGCTTTTTGTCAACAGTTCTATTTTTACACGGGTTCTAAATTAGAAAAAAAGGAAACATTCAGTTTGCTAAGAATAAGGAAATTTCACACTAGACATCCTTCTTTTGATTAAATTTAAAGGCAAACTACTGAGAAGCCTCAAATATACCCTTTTTTCATAGTGTGTAATTTTGAGTTTTTTTATTTATTAGAATATTTAATTATTTTGGTTTTAGATAACCTTTGTTGTGTTTGTATTTACTGGTTTATGTCAGTATGTTGAAAAGTAAAAGAATAATTTGAATTTGTTCAAAATTTATACCATCCATCATTATTCTTGTATTGTGAGATTGATACTTATGTTTACCTTTTGAGGTTTGGCTTTAAAGACTAAACAGATTTTGTAAACTGTTTCAAATTTACAATGGCATATGTGTTGCATACTGACAGCATGTGTGAATACTGTTACCAAAGTCATACGTATTTATTTTTGGTGTATAGGTGTATATCAATACATCAGACTATTGTGGATGGATGAAAACGTAATCATTTAATCATTATCTTAAGATCAGGATGGTTATGGCTGATACCATTTGACTTCTAAAATAATTTCCCTCATAAATATTAGAATTTTCACCCTACAGTATTCTAATCTATTGATATACACCTAGTATTTTTCTTTTGGAAGTTTAATAATAGCATTAAATTGCACTTTAAAATCAGTTTTTCTGATGTCTTTTTGGTTATTTGATAGTAGATTTTAAGACCATAATTTGTCAGAAGCCACACTTTTATTGATTCTGTATTGTCTGCAGTTGAAGTTAATAATAAAAAAAAAATGGGAAAAAAATCTAAGTTTGTCGTTGTGTTAACAGTACTTAAATTGTTTTGTGCAATCAGTTTCCCCAATTGGATTGAGTAAATCTAATACAATTTTAAGTAATTTAGAAAAGAACCATTAAAGTCAAATTAACTTAATTTTACTAAGAATATATAACACTTTTAAAACAAGTATGAATAAATACAGCATTTTGGTACAAGAAAATCAAATGGTTTAAGTCAACTCATACCAAATAAAATAAGTAAATAAACATCATTTATTTGAGTTATATTATTATAATTGTGTTGGGTTCATTAGGCTCCAATTAATTGATTAAAAACACTAAAACAATTTGAGTTGCATAACTTAAATCAATTGGTGCAATCGGTTTCCCCAAATCATTTGAGTTAGGTTAACTTGTCAGGTTTTACAGTGTATGAAAATCACTGCGTATCATTTGCTTATTAATGATCAATAACAGTAATGAACTTTAGATTTATTCAATGGACAGCTATATCTCCAATATTTACATTTTTTTTTTACCTGCCCTGGAAGTGTTTTTCTAAAATAATGTTTGCATTTTTACCCTCTGTCTGTAAAGTGGCTGCTGTTTTTATCTTATGTTCTACCTAAAAGTTTTCTCACCTGCTCTGTACCTGTCATTGCATATGATGTCCCTTTATCTCTTAAATTATCATTTAGATTAAACCCAAATTTATTTAACAAAATAAACTGAAAAACCTATTTTCTGCCAGTGAGAAATTTTGTTTCCATGTTTTAGTTCTATATAAAAAGAATGAAAAGCATTTTGCTGTTTAAAGAGTCAGCAATGACTAAGCATTTTTAATCCCTTATCAAGCAGATGCTGCATGTACTGCTTTCCCATTAATTATTTACACCTAAAGAGAAATCTTGTATGGATAATTATTCAGAAAATTAAATCAACGACACAGAAGTTCAACAATATGAGTGTACAATGCATGTGACAAATCCGTTTGACTTAAAGGGGATTTACATTTGTAAGCCAATTAGATCCAGCACAGTCACCATGAATGAGGACAGCAGACTGGAAAAGATGTGGAGCGATGTTATTTTAAGGAGAGTCTGGTGCACAATAAATTTCTATGAGAAAAACACAGAAAATGTTTTCAATTTCTGATCCAAATTGAGCTTTTCCTCTCAAGTTTGATTTATTTTATTCATACGTTTTGAGATTCAAAATAAAATAAGTCAATATGAAAAAGCACTGAGTAGTGCTTTTACTCAACCCCTTATGAAACAGCACACTTTTACTAACATGCTCTGAAACCTGAGGGCACAGAAGAAATATTTACGGCATCTTGACTACTAAACCCTGACTATTACAAGTATACCATTGGCAAAAAAGCAATCAACATGCCTCAAAAGGGCCTCACTCCGCTTATCCACAGCTTTTCTGTACTGGAACTAGGGCAGTAAAGGACATGCTGTACCATATAGATTCCATTCAGAATAATAGACCTGAATGTCAGAATAACTGAATGTTATTAAATGCTTCCAAGCATTAAACAGTATAGAAAATCAGAGCACAGAAAGGGTCTTTAGAGGGATTGGAATGTTTGTAGAACCTCTCTACACTTCAAATGCCTCAATTTGTTAACAGAATTGTCAATACTGTCAATAAAGATAAAAGAAAAAAATAGATTCCTGAAGTAATAGGTATTCACATGGGGAGGGAGCTTACAGAGCTCTGGCCTGGTTAAGGCAGAGAGGCACGCTGCTGGCACGCAACACAAGGACAAAATGTTCCCAACTAAAGCCTCCATAAGCCTTGAACCAGGAGCATTTATTGTCCAGCAGTGGAGGCGGCCTGGCGGGTGGGGACAGAGGAAAGTTGGACCTCAGCAGAATTGACTCTCTCCCCATGTTCAAAACCAGACTCAAAACCCACCTGCTTGCTTATTTGTAAATAGACTGATCATGTATTTGCATTTTTATTGTTTGTAAAGTGACCATAAGTGTCTAGAAAGGCGCTGTTAAATAAAAATGTATTGTTATTTTGTATTACTATTATTACAGGGAGATACTGACATATACTGACATAAAAACCTTCTGTAAAATCATATCAGTATTTCATGTACTAGGAAATGTAAGTATAATTCACACTTCATACACACACAAACATAGAAAGATGAGATGAATTGTCAATCACTGGTGATTTGTTTACGTAAGGTCGACCTACGTGCTCGTCCCCTTTTAGCTATGTTTTTCTGTGCATGCACACTTTCAGGCATATATATGTGGTGAGCAATGGTTTCACACAGTTATTTAAACTAAAATCTTTTAATGTGGTACTTTGAAAATGGCCGAGGGTCATAAGAGAAAAAGTGTCTATGAAGTGTATTGTTTGAGAAGAAAACAAAGGTATCAGAAGAGGCAGATTTATATGCCAGATGCTCGCAAAGCATTATGGGATTTGCTGTCACAGCATCCCGCTGTCACCATAGGCTGTTGCTACCTGACAGCAGCACCAATAAAAACAAAGATTGTGAGGCACGGCGTGGAGGAGGAGAAGTTACGTGACCAAGGGGGAGCAAACAGTAGTGATAATCTGTCCGAACAGTAAGTTAACCGAGTTCGCTATAATGTCCCCTATATAGTCCCCGCTCTATATAGTAATTGAGTGATTGAGGGGTTAGGGCGGACATTCGGACACAGTAAGCAATGAGAACAGCAACTTTGAAATGGAGTGTGCACAAGGAGAAATATGTGCGTGCATGCTCTCGCACGCATTTCACAGGCGTTCCCTCTTGGGAAGTGGAGAGGGCGGGTCTTCGCGAAAATCCTCCACCATACCTTTAAGTGAGTTTACTGCCACACAAAGAAGAGGAGATGTAGCAAGCAAAGTAGAGGTGGGCACTTTTCCATCCAGCAGTAAAGTCCCAAAACAACAGAGCTTATAAAGCCATATTAACATTTTTACCTTAATACATCCGTTGTTGTTATTGTAGTTTTAATGCAGGGACATCGAAAGCCATTGGCTTCAGTAACGTCATGATTTGCTGTGCTACCTCCAGGTGATTACAAAAAATATTTTTATTTTGGAGGATTATCACTTGTTGCTGTTAAAAGAGGCTGAGTGGAATTAAGAGTATTTTTTTCTAGCAAAAAGACTGCTTTACACCAGTTAGATAATGGACATTTGATAACGTAGAATAATACCCATCTCATCAGACATTTGGCTATGATCTGGGCCTTCCAGCTGAGTGTTGTTGTTGGAGATGCTGAGTACCTCAAGGAACTGTTGTAAAATAGTTTACAACTATTTTTAAAAGGACCCTCAGGGGGAGTGCTAGCCAATATTTCTGGCTAAATTTAGTGCCATTTCCTTTTATCGGTATCGTCCAACATGCAGGTGTTGGCCGAATCATTGAAGGATCACGTGAATATTCATTAGCGCATCCCCATTAGCTCTTCATTGATTATGTTTTGTTTGATCTGTTAATACATTTTTTTGTTTTTTGTTTTTTTTTTACTGTGACTTGTGTAACATTCTTTATAAGCAGCTCTAAGAATGGGGCCAGAAATATCAGCAGCATAAACGATTAGATTAGGGGTCAGCAAAGCCCTCACGGATCACACTGGGTGTCCTCTGCATCATCTGAAAACAGCACAATTCACCAATGGGCTAAGTTTGATATTTTATTTTATTGCTCTTCTTTTTTACAGTTAGATAGAGATTTAAAAATCTAAATATCTAAAAGATGGCCGCTCACATTAAGCCTGGTTATGCTGGAGGTTTGGTTTACCAGTTTAAACAGCCATTCAGCATCAGAGCCATCTCTGAAACATGGATCACTCAGGAGAAAACATGACAGTGTTTAACAGGTGAAATATTTATGGAAAAGTCAAAAAATGTCATTGGTAGTTGTACAACAGAACTCCTGGTTCTAATATGGAAATATTAAGAGAATGGTTTGACCAAATATACACAGTTTCACCTCAGAAGGTCCACTTCATCTGTGAGGAGTTTAATATTGATCTACTCGACTAAAATAATCAAATACCTACTGAAGAGTTCAATAATACCATGTACAGTTTGAGCCTTTTTCCCCAAAAAACACCAGACCGAGCAGGATCACGCTTAACAGTGCTACTTTAATAAATTATATATTTACTAATATCTTAGATAACGATACGTTAACTGTATTATTAGTTTAGCATATTAGTGATTATCTCCCAGTCTTTGTCAGTGACAAAGGATAAAAGTAATCCACAGTTTAAAAGTAAGGACAGAGGAATCAGTCAAATCTTTCAAAAAAGACTTCTTGAAACATAACTGGGAGTCTGTTTTGCAAGAAGATAATGTCGATATCGCATATGATAATTTTATGCGATAAGTATTATACGATAAAAGATTTCCCATTGGTAATTTTCTCTCATAAACACACATACTAAAAAGCTCCATGGATCACAAAGGGTTTGTAAAATAACAGCAAAAAAAATTAACTATATAGTAGGGATGGAACGGTTTATGAAAACCGTCCGAACC